GCAAAAGTGAAAAGTGAACCAAAGGGGTTCTGTACCTGTCCTACCATAAATTTTGCCCATTTCCTCATAGTCAATGCTACAGGTACAATTTAAGTCCACCGCCAAGGTCTTTCCATCTAATCACACGTCAGAAGAAAAATCAGTCTGCCTATGGTTTATGATACCGACTGGACTAATCAAATGGATTAAAAACATGTCCAAGTCTGTAGATTGTAGAGTTATCCAAGGTAGTATGCTCAGGAACAAAAAGGCACTGTTATAAAAACAAAGACATACATAATAATTTAGCAGAGATGGGAATGAGTCAAAGACACTTCTGCAGACTAGAACAGTATAAAATTATCATATAATGAATGAAGAACTAGACAGTGAAAGATAAGTTCAATTATAAATCAATTCCTTATGTCATAACAAAACTTTAAATAGAAATACAAGACTGACAACCTAGAAAATATCAATAATTCATTTTTGGATACACTGAGTTGTTACTAAGTACCAGGTATTGTCCATAAGGTACTGGGGGCAGAAATGAATTCTCATCCTTATAGAGCTTACATTCTGCAACAACAGACTGATGAATCACTTGACGTCAGGTAGTTAAGTACTTATAAAAAAAAATATGGTAAGAAGAAGCAGTGATGAGTAAAGATGGACTGTTTTTTTTACAGGAAGTAACTAGGGAAACAAATACCTAGGACAGCAATAACCTCAGCCAAGAAAGTGAAGCTAAGTTCAAAAGCAGAAATGAGCATACAGTGTCCAAGAAGTATGGCATGACAAAGACAGTCAGGAAATCATAATCACGTCAGGGACGCAGAAAGGGGTCAGGCCATGGGCCACAACAAAGATCTGCATTTGCCTGTGAGTGGTACGGAAACTACACAGTGGAGGTTCTGAGCAGGTAACCAACATTATGGAACACTTTTAAAGTGGCCCTAGCTTTTGTAAATGATTGTAAGTGGTACCGTAGTAAAAAAGAATACCACAAAGCTCTTGACATAATGCATGAAAGAGATTACAATGACCAAATATGATAATACTGCTGAGGTAGAGAGAAGTGATGAGTTTCTGGATCTATATACTTTTTAAGTATTTTAAAGAGAATTAAAAAAAAAAAAAAAAAAAAGAAAGCCAAAAGATCTTACACATAAAATGGGTACAGAATGCAAAGGAAAAAGAATCAATAATGAATTCTGGACATCAGAAGTGAGTGGCAGGAAATATTAATGGCACCATCTACTGAAACAGGCAAAGATGAAAGAATAAGAAAGTTTGGGGAGCCAGTCATGGCAGCACACAACTGTAATCCCAGATTTCGGGAGGCTGAGGCAGGAGGACTGTCATGAATTTGAGGTCGGTCTTGGCTACATAAGTCAGTTCAAAGCCAACCTGCACTACCTAGTGAGACCCTGACTCAAAAAAAAAAAAAAAAAACCCAGAAAGTTAGAGGAAAGAAACTAAGAATTGAGTTTTTGACTTGTTTGTTTCAGACTACTAGCAGAACCCAAGTGGAGATGCTCAGTATATAGATACCTAAGCCTGAACTCAGGCTAAGATTAAGTACATAAATTCGAGAGTCACCTGAGTAGTCATGGTACTTAAAGTAAGGAATTAGATGAGGTCTTTTTAAATCTCTATAAATAAAAACACAGAAGTTTTTCTAAGTGCTTCACAAACACCAACTCTAACAACCCTGTTAAGTTAAGAACTAGTATTATCACCAACTCTAACAACCCTGTTAAGTTAAGAACTAGTATTATCCTCATATTCCATATTAAAGATAAGAAAACAGAGGTAGAGAATATTTAAGCAGCTAGTCCAAAGTCACATTTCTGATAACAAACCTGCTTGAATTCAAGCAGTGTCTTTAACTCGGGTTCCAGGATCTAAATTCTTAACACTAGGGTAAGTTTCCTCCCAAGACATCAAAAGGAAAAACATCTGAGGAGAAAAGGATCCAGAACTGATCCTCATGGCATTCAACATTGGGATACTGCAAAAAGCAGAAGCAATAAAGGCTAAAAAGGAGTTAAGCAGAAATATAATGCCCAGAATGAAACAGATTTAGTCATGAAGTGTACTGAGTGTCCATTAGCACCAGACACTGGTCAGCATGCTGGGGATACGTAACAAATGAAAAACCCATCCTCACAGAGCTCATACTGCAGTGATAGGTTCAGGCATTTCTTCAAGAAAAAGGCTAGCACCAGTACTTTGCCTCAATACAGGAAATGTTATAGTACATACAATTTCAGTGTACAAAGTTGAAAATAATTTTGAAAGAGTATAAATGTATTCAAATGTAAAGTGATTGTTAATTCCTTTAGATGAATTAGTTGGGGTTAATTAACATAACTGACACACTGGTGGACACGGTGAGAAGGAACAGTTAAATGTATCCTGTAGTCTACATATTGTACCCTATATGCTATACTAATTAAAAAGAAAAAAACGGCGTAAGAATCCACTGGACTCCGTCCAAGGGTTACTAACTGCCGGTGACTAAAGGCTCTTCTAAGATAAACATTTTGTGATATTTCAATACATGGGTCATGAGAAGAGAAATGATCCAGACATAAAACTTGACTAAGTTTAAAAAGTAAGCTTTTCTGGAAAATATAAAACACCTGCCAGGTAGCAACTACCAAAATAATTAAGGAGCAAAACAGAGAATATAGGGGCTAGGGATTTAGCTCAGGGACACAGCACCTGCCTGGCAAGAGCAAGGTCATGAGTTTGATTCCTGGTACCGGGGGGGAAAAAAAAAAAAAAAAGAGAGAGAGAATATAGCTGTCTCTAATGCTAAATAATTTGGTAAATGAACAAAAAAAAAACTAATATAATTTGCAGAAATTTGGAAAAAGGCATAAAATTGCAATAGGCTAGAACACTCTTCTCAACCGGGAGCTACTCCGACCATAGCCCAGGAGAAAGTTACTAATGCCTGGAGACTTTTTAAATTATGACTTGCAGTAGGGTGCCAACTAGTACATAGTGTGTAAAGGCCAATGATGAGGCAAAACACCCTGCACTGCACAGGACAGACTCCCCAAAAGATTATTTATCTAGTTCAAAAGGTCAGTACCCTTACTACTGAGAAACCCTAGGCTACAGCATTCAGGAAATAATTCAGGTAAAACAACTTGCCTCTAAATTGGAATTAAAGCATGAGGAGATGCAGAAAGATAACAAAAACAAAAGCATAAAGGCAAGAAGGAGCCTGTATTCAAACCGGGTGGTGTAGGTTCAAGAAACAGGTTTAGCATTAAGAGATTTATCAGAATCCAAAGCATATGTGTGTTGAAAAAAAAATCAGAGCACGCCCTGGTTTCAGTCCCTTGCACCAAAAAACAAATTCACAACTCAGTAGAATATAAAGTTGGTTCTGCTTCACTGACAGTTTATTATATAGGATCATTAAACCTACATAAAAGCGCTAGAAACAGAAGAAAGGAGTGCTGTTTTACTCTAAGCATATGTCCTACAGTTGATGTAGTAAGTTGTAAAATTGCTTGAGGGGCAGCTACAAGATTGTGTTCATCATTGTATCTCTTATGGCACTGAGCACTGTCCTGTAAAGAACGAGTCAAATGCTTATTAAATGCAATTTTCCAATTCATTACTTATTTAGAATTATCGGTGATCTCTAAAGTTTCATCCACTGCTAAGATTCAGGACATTTAAACTAGGGATGGGGGAGCTAGCATCTAATTATACAAAGGCACTGTATAGGCTCTACACGTACTATTTCATTTAATTACAGAACAGAAGCAAGTGTTTTCCCTTGTTTAAAAGATGAAGACACTGGAACTCAAAGAATTTACCTTGCCTCTTTACTTCTGGTTTTTACTGTGACCTAGATAGTGGCAGCGACAGAACTGAACCGTTTTGTAGTCTTAACCCAAATCTCTAAGCTTCGATGATACGCGGTAAGGAAGAGCCCAAAGAGAAAAATTCAAAATTCACCTTTCATAATCAAAACATGCAAAGATATATAAAGTAATTCCACAGGGTTATCCTTATATCCCTTTTCTGCAATAACCATCAAGTTCTACCTTACAGGACCTGAATATGGTATTTGTTCCTTGCTTTCCATACTTGCATACCAAGGTAATTTCTAAGTACATTCAAAGCACCCCAAAATTCTCTACCCAGAAATTCAAATCTCGTAATTATTATCTTCAGGTCAGAAAATGTAACAATAAATAAACAAAACATAGGTTGTTGAAGTGTCATGATATGGATCATACCTAATACCAATGGTTCAGGAAGCAATAAAAATACAGCTTTTTTTGCGGGGGGGGGGTGCCGGGAATCGAACTCAGGACCTTGTGCTTGCCAGGCAGGCGCTGTGCCGCTGAGCTACATCCCTGGCCCCAATTTAGCATTTCAGACGCTTTTCCAGATTAGAAGTTCTCGACCCAACCTAAGAAAGGCATCCCAAAGGCTCAGGTCTTCAGTTTAGTTATTACCACATATTTCATCCTTCCCAGTATTTTCTGACAGTCTGCCCTTCATCAGGGGCTCTTTCCTCCAGCGACCACTAAAAACGATCTTTTCTTAATCCCCCCAAAATCCTAATCTGAAACACCCTGCTTGTTTCACAGGCTTAACGTGTGGCCGCACAAACACTTCTGCTACACGGTTTATAATCCCACTCTCCCCGCTGCACGCCTCGGCCCTTCGCGGTGCTTCCAGAAGCCAAGTCCCAGCACCAGACGCCACACCAGCTGCTCCTCCGGGCCCCCGACTCCAGCCCCTCACGCAGCTCCTTCGAAACCCACGGTCTGGGCTCCAAGGCCCATTTCAGAGGTTCTCGGAGTCCCAGTTCTTTCAAAGAGGATGCGCCAAGCTCTCAACCTTCTCCCAGCCCGTAAGAAAGGTTCTCCGGAAAGGGGAAAAGCTCGGCCGGGACCCCGGGGTCCAGAAGGCACGCGGGGGGCGGACAGAAGGGGCTCGCAGTCGGCGGGGAGCGCACAGCGAGCGCTAAGAACACTCACCAACATCCTGGTCGAAGGGATTGGTGGCAAAGAGAGGCATCGCCACTGCGTGTCGAGGTGTCCGCAGGGACTCCCCCTTGGCACCACCGGAGTCAGGGTGCGACGTAAGAAGGAAGACTCCCCAGGCAAAAGCAGCAAGAGACGGATACCACCTGGCACTCGACAGCTCCACCTCTCATCCACCCCCAGCAACCGCGGGAGCAGCGGCGGCGGCGGCGGCAACAGCAAAGAAGCTCGCTAGGCCCCCGCGCGGAGCATGTCGGGAATGTAGGCGCCCTCCGCTCTGCCTGTTGAGAATCTGTCCAGAGTCTCCCCCACCAGCGCAGAACCCCTCAAGGAACACCCGCGGCCTAGCTGTTCTTATGATTACTTACAGAAAGGAGTAAGATTCATAGCTGTATTTTCTGCTTTTTCCCTGGCCAAAAGGTTCCGGAGAACAGGGTCCTCCAGGCGCACCGAAGGCCACTAACAACCCCAGGGGTGAATCAGAGACTGAGCAAAGATAAAGTGGGTCGAGCTAGGATCCTAGCAATTCCGATTATTCTCCCCCAGCCCCAAATTCGATCGTTTGTCGGACACTGTAGTCCCGCAAAGGGTGCTAAAAACTCTTTTGGGTCATGTAAGTTTAAAAAAAAAAAAAAACTATGAGTTTCATTCGCAGGGTGAGGAGACAAGAACTCGGTTGATGAAGTCATGTGAGCCGAAAGAATTGGCTGGGATCCCTGACGAGGGGAGTGTCAGGGCGCTGGCACCTTCCCGGGAGTCCCCAGGCGCCCTGCTTCCGAGTCTGCGGAAAGCAGCGTCGGCGCCTCCTGACTAAGCGTGCGATCAGCAAGCAACTGTGCTGATGAGAAAACGGGTCTTTCACGGCCCCAGATAGCCTTTCCAAACGGAGCAAACAAAAAAAGGAAAACGGAAGAAACGGAGCTAGAAACTGATTCATGATTTCCAGCGACCTCAAATATGAATTTAATATAAGTGTAGGTAACAGAAATTATCCACTGTCATGGAGAAATTGGAAGGAGCATCTGCTAGATTTTGCATTGCATTTGGTACAAGCTTAGCTCATTTTTGCGCATAAATTAGAAATTATGTACATTTACCTAACTCACAACGCTTCAGAAAGTAGCATGGAAACAAATACTGGCGTGTCCGCAACAGAATTAGTATCATAGTATAGAAAGCATTATTACAAAAGCACGTTTGCAATGAAGTTCCACTTCCAAAAGTGAAAATGCAAATTAAAGTAGCAGATAATGTTTTCCATCAATCAAAGTAACAGAATCGAATGTAAGGAACTGTACATTCACATATTGTTGGTTGGATGAAAGTTAGCAATCTTTCTAAGGGAAATACTTGGAAGCCTGTAACAGGCTTTTTAATGCTTTTGGACCCAGCAGTTTTGCAGTTTTCGTTTTTGTTTTTTTGAAATTCATCATAAAGATACTCTTTGAAAACAAACAAAGGTATACATGGCAACATTGTTTATAATACCAAAGTATTATTAACCACTAAAATGTCCAAAATTAAGAAATTAGACAAATTGCTTCGTTTCTTGGTATCTGTTTCCTTATCTCTAAGGAACAAGAATAATAATAAGGTTGTGAGGATCAAATAGACTAGTGCAAGCAAAACCCTGTAACAGTGCCTGGCGTGTAGTAAACAATAAATATAAACTCATTTTTGCACATAAATTAGAAATGACGTACATTTACCTAACTTAAAATTATTATTGGTCAAAGAAGTTCTAGTACACATGATGTAAAAACTATACAGCCTTTGAAAGATGATACTATAGATCTGTATTTACATACACATCTGAATACATAAATTTTTAGAAAATTTCCAGAACCATGTAAAATTACAAATTTGAAAGTCTATAAGGAATACACAAAAATATTATAACGTGATTATCTCCAAATAGTAAGATTCTGAATGATGTTTTTGTTCTTTGTGCATTTTATACTTTGCAGATATTTTAATGGCAAGCATGTTTTTCTTTGACAAGCAGAAAAACATGTTACAATAATCCAAAACAATGTGATATAGTAGTACTAATAAGCTCTTGACATTTTGAAGAGCCAGTATCAAAAGCTTGCTTGTGCTTTATTATGACACATATAAAATTTTTCCAAACTGTATTGACATAGGAATCAGAGCATTGTCTTTAAGAAAACCTTCTCTTGATTACTAGGCTGACAGAATCGTGTAACAAGTTGTCCAATTTACAAAACAGTATCTTGGGTACATTATCATACTTTCCTTATATCAGCCAGGTATTTAAGAAAATGTATTTGACCATACTTTGTACTCTGATAATGACACTGAATTGTCCAAGCCTTAATTATCAATACATGACCAATGAAGATAACATATTAGCAATCATAAACCTTACCCATGGTATTGTGACCTACAAGAACAATGTCAGCTATTGGTCTTTATGATTAATATGCTATAAAAATAAACATTATCAAAATACAAAATTTATGATATTATATTTGACAAATGACACATAAAGACAAAATAAGTTTATTTTCTGAGGTTAACTTCCCTTTGAAATACTGAAATTACAAGATTTTTCACTTTTGTTATATGCACTTATAAAGAAAATTATTAAATTCATATTTGTAGTGTTTTAAACATTTTAGAGACTATCAATTTCACCTTAAACTGTTTCTGTACTATGTTTAATAAATTTTGTGCCTAATTTTAAAATATTCCTTTATTCTCAATTTGACTTTGAAAATTCTTTTACATTAAAAATAAAGATACTGACATACAAATGGAGTTACTCCAGGAAAAACATCTATAATTTTAAGACTCCAGAAAAGGAACATCTCAGAAAGGTTATTAACAGTTTAATCATTTCAACTCAGTGAGAATGATTAATATTTTTCAAATTCAACCTCTGCAGCCTCATTGTCACTACTTTAGTACCCATCCTCATCATCTCTTAAGTGAACTACAGTAAATTCTCTTATCCATAGAGTCTGAGGTTAACTGTGGTCTAAAAATATTACATGAAAAATTCCAACAAATGAGCAAGTATTAAATTGCATGTCATTCCGAGTAGTATCATGAAATTATCCCACCATTCTGTTCCATGTGGCCCAGGATGTGAGTAATCCTTTTGTCCAGTGTATCCATGTGGTATATCCTACCTCCCATTAGTCACTTAGCAGCCATTTTGGTTATCAGGATGACCTTATTAACATCATTTTTATTATATTGTTATAATTGTTTTCTTTTATTATTAGTTATTGTTAATAATTTCTTACTGTGTGTAACTTATAAATTAAACTTTATCCTGTCTTATATGTGTAGAAAAGAAAACATAAAATATATTGGGCTCAGTAATACCCAGTTTCAGGCATCCTTTAGAGGGCTTGGAAATAAAGTGGTTGGGGGAAAAATTCCCTTGGAATAAAGGGGTTGGGGGAAAGACTACTGTATTATATTCACCTCTTAATATTTTTTCCTCCTTTCTTACTGCTTACATAATAAATTGTATACACCTAAAATTGCTGTACCAAAGCCCCCACACCAACATACCAACATAATGGTAGTTTGTAGATGTGGGCTTTGGAAAGTAAGATTTAGATTAGGTTATGGAACATGGGGCCTTGTGATGGGATTAGTGTCCTTTTGTAAGTGGCACCATATTGCTTACCCTCTCTCTTCTACCATATGAGGACACAATAAGAAGGCAGTTGTCTGCAAGCAAGTAGGGGAATCCTCACCAGAAACTGACTACACTGACACATGATCTCAGACTTCAAACCTCCAGAACTGTGAGAAAATTAATTTATGCTGTGTAAATCACTCACACTATGGTATTTTGTTAGGGCAGTGCATGCTAATGTACCTCTTTATCTCCAAATTGTTCTCTACTGCCAGAATGATTTTTCTAAGACACAAATGTGATCATATAATTCCCTTAAGATTCTTACCTGTTTCTTCTGCCAGTCATTCCATACAAGCTTATTAGCTCCTTATGATTTCCAGGCACCAATTTATATGCTGGAAATATCATAGGGATAACTGCTTTATGTAACTTAATATTTTTTTGGAGAGTAACCTATTGGGAAGAAAGTCATTAATTCAACTAATTTCTTGATTACATATTCAAAGAGTCTCTAGCCTGCAATATTAATCCCTAATTTTCTAGCATTTCATCCACATAGATGGTTAGTTCCTCAACTCTTCAGTATTTTTTATTTCCTGCTTTCATTTCTAAACTACCAGCAGCCATCCAAATATCCTTGTACTTTTCATGTCTTCAAACAAGCAATTCTTTCTGCTTCTTCTGCTTCTTCTATTTAGATGGGTCCTAGACCTTCTCTAAATCTGCACTCGATTTCACTTCCCAAAAGTATTTCCTGATTCGGTATCTGACCAGTACTAGGCACACAGGAAATATTTGTTTAATTAATTGGTTGATTTGCTACCTTTATCACAGCACTTAATGGTATGATATTTGTTCCAGATATTGACTACTATATAAAATCCACACCAAATCTAGTGTCATGGAAAAAACAATCGTTTCTTCTCGTTGCAAATCAGAAATGTGGTCAGAGCTCAGCAGAACAGCAAGCCTATCTTCCACACTGGGTCATGTCAGCAGAGCTGCTCAAGGGCCAGAATGATTTGGAATAGGAAGAGAGTCATTGCAGTCGTGTTCTGTTGGCCAGGTAGTCACAATGTCTCTACACAAAGGGAGAGGGGATAAAATGTTGAAAAAGTTTTAAGGAATTTGGGGGGTCGTATTTAAATGCTGCAATAATATTGTAACGTTTTACTTGTTTATCTAAGCACTGGATTTTAAATCCTTTCCTCTTAATCTCTACATTTATGGGCTCTGTAGAGTAAGTGTTGTTTGTAAAAGGGTGTTAAATTCAGTAAATAAGATACATTATGGTTACAATGGCATACTTTCATCACTGGTTGTAGAAGGTGATAGGATCTGGTCTTATCTTGTCACATAAGCAAATAGAACCCTGGACAAAAACACAAGGAACAAATTATTTCCTACGTGAGACACGAGGTACTGGGCTATCATCCCGAGGAGAAAGGAAATATGCACTGAGTCCTATGATTGCCAACAGGCTTTTTGTTTGTTTGTTTGTTTGTTTGTTTGTTTTCCCCAGAATCAGTTTCTGGCTAGGCCAAAGAGACAATGAATCCAAGGAGTATCAGAAGGTCTTATTGAATTGAACAGATGAAAATCAGAATCTGGGGCAG